CCCCCTCTCACCCTTTCAAGAGTCATCTTCTCCTTTTGTTTAGCCTTCCGGCTCTACCTTATGGCATCATAATTTATCTCAACGTGGTCTTGACAGAGTATACATATATATATTATTTCATTTTAAAAAAATCAATTGCAAATAAAAATCAGATTGTTGAAAATCGTATTTCTATTTACGAAAAAGAATTTTAAAATTTAATTTGTTTATTGAAAAATGTTTTTTAGATAATTTATTAAAAAAAATTATTTTTTAGTAAACAAATTAAGTTTTAAATTTATCATTTTCTGCAGAAAGAATTTTAAAAAAAATTTTTATATGATGATGGTGGAGAGTACATAATAAACGATTATCGTCTGTTTTATTGAGGCAGTGATATACGTCGATAATTCACTGCAATTAAAGTGATTAGTATATATATATATATGTATATACAGAAGCGCAGAAGTTCCGTTTTCGCGGTCGATTCCATCGTATTTGTTTCATCGCGTAGGCTATTCCTGGATAATCGAAAACCTAAACGTGGGGAAAATTGCGATCAGGTCTGCGGGTGTACACTCAATCGACCGTGAAAATTGAAAAACTATTTCGATCGGGCACGAGTTTAAGGGCCTGAGGATTTAGCGAGAGAGAGAGAGAGAGAGAGAGAGAAGGGGGGCGATTACTGGTACTCCATATTACACAACCCTCGCATCACCCTTCGACACAATATATTCTCTTCAATTAAACACAAAATTTCAAAAAAAGGACCAATTTTAGTTTAATGAAATTCTTCATAAAATGTTTATAAAAAATATAAACAAGAAATTTGCTGAAAAATTTTGCTAATTTTTTTTTTGCAACAATTGAATCTGAGGAAGCAAGTTCTAATTGAAATTCAAAAAAAAAATCAAACCGGAAAGGGTCAAGGGGCGAATCTGAAGAGTAACAATGCGGAAGGCAGATGTTGGATCGTCGACCCTTAGAAACGAATTTTAATCTTGGGGTGGTCATATATATATATAATAAATTTGCATACTGGTCAAACTTGTGTGTCCACCATAACAAAAAATATCATATAAATACATTTAGTCCAATTTCAACAGTCACATAGTAATGTTGTACAATCAAATTTTTCCAAAATATCAATTTTTAATATCGTTCAATAAAAAAATGTGCATTTTTGAATACAATTTTTAGAAAAAAAAAATATTAGATCATCGTGATAATATGTAAATGTCGGATGCAAAATATATATTATTCAATGTTTAGGTACATGCATTATGTGAAAAGTGATTCATGAATTCCGATGTAATATAATATCCATTCGATTGGAATTGATTTTGGTATGTGTTTATATATACATATATAGTCCGAGTTATACAAGGAAAATTAATTCAATTCATCTGGTGTTCACATAAAGCTCTACTCTCTCTCTCAATATAATTCACATCCGTCTGTCTCACTTTACTCGCATGTAATTGCGCGTTTATCTCATTAACGGAATCATTAAATTACCCAAATTTACGATTATGGGGGATTAGTATATTCCAGCCATAAAAAACAACCCAATTTTTTTCATTTCCAGGAAAACATTCTTTCAAAAAAAAAATATTTTTCAACTTTTTTTCCAGTTAGTATGATTTAAAAAAAATATTTCTTATTTAAAAAAAATAGCAGGCAATGAAATAAATGAGAAAGAAATTATTGAGTTAGTTTTTAATTTTTTTTTCCTTTTTCCAGGAAAACATTCTATCCAAAAAAAGTTATTTTTCACTTATTTTCCAGTTAGTTTCTAGTTAGAATAATTTTAGAAAAGTATTTTTTACTTAAAAAAAAGTAGACAATGAAATAAATAAGAAAGAAATTATTTAGTTAGTTTTTAAAACCAGGAGGAAAGATTTTTTCATTTTCCAGGAAAACATTCTATCCAAAAAAAGTTATTTTTCACTTATTTTCCAATTAGTTTCCAGTTAGTATGATTTGAGAAAAGTATTTTTTGCTTTAAAAAAATAGTAGGCAATGAAATAAATGAGAAAGAAATTATTGAGTTAGTTTTTAAAACAAGGAGGAAGGATTCGCATATTTATAATTAAACGTAATAATGAAAATATAACTGTTTTAGCATTATTTTGTTATTATAAAAATTTTTTATTTGATTTAAATGATGAAGTTAAAAAAAATTTTTTTTAAGAACTTATCAATAATAATATAGATATATTGTGATAACAACAGAACCTCAACAGAGAAATTGACTACTGAGAATTCGCTAAGTTTTTGTATAAAAAAAAAAAAGAAGGAAGAGGTCGTGAAAGTCGGGGAAAAACAAAAGCAAGCTGCGATTCCGTACATACCTTTCGCATTACTAGCCTCATCCTACCCACCTTCTTTTGCCTCGCCATCAGGCAATCTAAACCCCCCCCCCTGCTACCCCTGTTTTCTCTATTTTCCTCCCATTTACCTCCCACACGAAGCATTATCATTTGCTTTTCTCTTTGCTTTTCTCCTTTTTCCTCACTTTCTCTCCCCTCTCTCTTTCACCCTCTGTAAAGACATGGTCCAAGAAAAACATCTTTTATTCTCTTTCTTATTTCTATCTCCTTCCTCTATATTTTCTGTCTCTATATATATTTTCATTTTTCCTCTTCTCTTCTCGTTACAAAAACAAAGGATTCTTGAGAAAAGGTTAATAAATTTTCAAAAGGATACTGCTACATTGGATATTCTTACTATTTTCTATACAATATAGTCAAACTATACAAAAACTAGCTAGAAATGTAACATTACGACCAACAAGTTTCTAGACATTTAAACTATGTGGAAACTATGTAGTTTCTAGACATTTAAACTATGTGGAAACTATGTAGTTTCTAGATAATTAAACTGTTTGGAAACTATCTAGACTATTTATAAAGTTTAGGATTGTACTATCTAGTTTCTAGATACTTAAACTATATGGTAACTATCTAGCGTATCTATAGATTATTTATAGGTCAATATTTAGAGAATAAATGGTCACCCATTTTTTTTGCTAAATAAAAATAATTCAGCCATTTCTTTTTTTAAAGCACCCCTTGGGTATTGCTAATTTGAAAGGGTCGAGATAAGAGTGGGTGGGGTTATTAAGACAATGAAAAAACTCCAGCCATCTTTAATTCTCAACGAACCCCAGCACCAACCCCTTTTATATATACTTGAAGGGAATGGAAAAAAGCTGCCGATCAATAATTTCAACTTTACTTCATCTTAATACTTTTTCACCATCCTTTCGTATATACTATTTTAAAATTTTTTAGAGAGAAGAAGAAGAAGAGAAGAAAAGAAGAAGAAAGAGAAATTTAAAAAGTAATTACCATGTAAAATAATTAAATTTCTTTATAAATGTAATCTGTCTTTGTTGCTTAGGATTATTAACGAAAAATATTCCAACCAATCTAGTTTCTTATATCGGATCACTTTTATCAATTTTCCTTTGAAACTTAATTTCAATTAAATTGCACTTAATTTTGAATATTAAAATATCTTTTAATATCTTTTATACATAGAAGGTTAAATTCTTTATATAATTTTAATAATTTTAAATTTATCAAATTCTTCAATAAAAGATAAATTAATTATCAAAAAATAATTTATATTTCAATAATAATAATGAATAAAATAATAATAAAACATAAAATAGTTATAAATTTAACTTTAATTATTATTTGATTAATCTATAAAATTTTAGTGAAACAATTATTATATAGATGTAGAATTTGATTAAAAAAAGAAAATATAAATTACATAAAATTAACTTTAATTATTAGTTAAATAGTGATGATCCATTAACTTGATAATAAATGAATGTATTTTTGTTGCAAAATAAATTTTTATAGTTTATATCGCTCTTTTGACGCTGTTTTATTGCGAATTTAATATTTAAAATAATTTATTATTATGGAAATTCAATATTCATTTGCAGTGATTTTTAAATTTTTTGGTTTAATACCATTATTCACATCAAACAAACATCAATATCGTGTATACAATAAAATATACGTTTCACTATTGTCGTGCATTTGTTTTTTCGTTTATATTTATAAAAGAATATTTATGATTATTAATTTAATTAACAATTTGGAAATTGATTCATTAATATTATTTATCCAAGAATTATTGAGTTTATTGCATCTTATGAATAGTCACTTCATTATTATATGACATCAAGATCGTCTATTTAATGTTAGTATATATTATTGATTATATTATTATAAAAAATTGTATTATATTTTTATTATATATAAATTGATTTTATTTTTTCTTCTTTAATAATTTAATTTATTTCCTTTAAATTAATTAAATGTATAAATTTTTATTTTCAGTATCAGAAGAAACTTTTCACATTGAATACAATTTTCGAACAATATAATTGTCCAAGAGAAAATATAAATTGGTGGTTTTTAAAAGCAAGAATGATTTTTTATATAATATCAATAATTATTTATTTTACTTTTCAAAATCCTTCCATTAATATGTTAAATTATTTTGGAGATTTTGTTAATAGATTTTTAAATTTATACATATTGTATTCAACAACGTATTTCAGTTATCAGGCCTATATTTTGTATAAAAAATTTTTTATTCTAAATAACAATCTAATACCAAAACTTATTTGGAGGGATAATTTTAATAAAAATCCAAATAACATTACATTTAAAAATTTAAAGAATTTACATCAATTTATTTGTACATTTATTGTTGAATTAAATGATCTTTATGGTTTTAATCATATTTATTTCATTTATTATTCAGCAATAGAAATAATGTTAAATTTGTACTATGTCAAAATGTACTATGACATTATATATTTAATTACTTCCTGTTCAATGATTTTAAATTTTATCACTATGTGTAGATTTTTTCACATTTGCTGCGCTGAGGTAGTTAATATTTTAAATTTATTTTTCGTTTAAAATTAAATAAATTAAAATAATAAATAGGTACTAACAACAATAATAATCTATTTTTCATTTTTAAATTTCAGGCTAATCGATTTATTGATTGTGTTTTAAATGAAAATTTTCATATTGATAACAGATTTATTAGAATGGTATTTAGTAATTTTTATTTGATATTTTAATTTGTATAATTAAGAGCAATTGAATAATTTATTTTAAATGACTTTTTAGGAACATCTGGAAGTTACAGAATACTTTCTTAACAATGAAATTGTCTTTAGTGCTAAAGGCTACTGCAATGTGGATTTAAATATTATTTTTCATGTAAAACCATGTTTATAATTATTTAATGATTTTTTATAATATAAAAACTAATATAAACTAAGTTTACAAAAAATAATAATAATAATAATTTTTTACAGGTTGCAGCTATGGATTTAGCATATTTGTTGTATGAGAAAAAATAAAATTCGCAACAACAATTGGAAGAGCTAACTAAAACGTTTGTCTGACTTAAAACAATTTTTTCTACTTATAAAAATTTTTAATTTATATTAGTTTTTCTGACTAAAACTGAATTTTACTACTGAGAGAAAATTAAAACCGTATTGTAATATTGTCTGACTAAAATCGATATTTACTACTTATATTAAATAACAAAAAGTACAGTTGTTTGTCTGATTGAAACTGATTGTTACTACTGATAAAAAATTTCAGGAATTATATAAACTTCTGTCTGCCTAAAGTGGACTTTTACTACTTGTACAAAATTTCAAAAATGGAATTAGCTGGTCTGACTAAAAGTTACTTTTACTACTAATTTGAAAAGAACATTAAAAGCATTGTCTGACTAAAAAGAGTCTGTACTACTTATTCAAAAAAATGATAACTATTTGTCTGACTAAAAGTGACTTGTACTACTAGTGCAAAAAAAATAAAAACTTCGTCTTACCCTAACTGTCTTCTACTACTTCTAAACAATAAAAACCAGAAAAAATGTTGTCTGAGTAAAACTGACATTTACCACTTGTAAAAATTTCAAAAATTGAAAAATTTTGTCTTGTAACTTGCTTTTACTACTAATGTCACATTACGACAAATGTAAATATTTCGGCTGACTATAATCGACATGTACTACTTATATAAATTTACAATATTTTGTTGTTATTCATAAAGTTGAGCAAAAATAACATTAATTTTAAGAATTTCTCTTCTGGCATAATTTATTATTGTACTTAAAATGTTAGGTAAATAAAAAATTTTAAATCCTACATTTCAAAACATGTATTTTATTTTGCGTAAATGATTATTGAAGAAAAAGATTTTTTTCAATACAAATTAACATTGTCCTATATCAATAATTATCCTACATGTCCTTAAAAATAATTAAATAACTTAAAATTAAATTTACTTTAACTTTTATTATTGAGATATTATTATCATTATTAAATGAAAAAGAAACGTCAGAAAAAATGGACTTAAAAGATTAAATAAAATAATATTTCCTTAATAATATTATTTACAATATTTTTTATATATGTATTTAACATATACATCACTTACGCATTATTGATTAATTCATAAATTTATAAAAAGTTAAATTTTTTTTTATTTGTTTTTGATCTTATTCCTTATCGTACTGAACAGTAACCATTTCAAATGGTTCTCCCCTCGCCCAAACACGAAATAATTTACTTTTTCCATCTGAACAATGTATACTTTCTCGACGTTGATGATATCCAGCGTCCTTGAGAGTTTTTAAAACAGACGTTTTTGAAACTCCCATTTCCTCAGCAATTTCACGACTTGTAATATTTGGATTTTCTTCAACACTTGCACAAATTTTTGTTTGTACTTCTTCAGTCAAGAGATATTTTTCACGTTTTTTCTGAAAAACAATTTTTACATTATTTTTACTATTACTAGAAATGTTATTATTTTTACTATTACTATAAATGTTATTATTATTACTATTATTGGTATTAAATAGAGATTTTTTTAACAGTTACATAAAGATTTTTAAATAATTCAAAAAGTCACGACAATAGATGAAAAGATGGGTCTCAAAAAACTCTACAAAGAAAAACATCTGTAGGTGTTCTAAGAATTTTTAAGATATGAACAAAAAAAACTTTTTTTAAAAGAAATGAAAAACTTTTTTTTTATAACAGCAAGGTCAGCGTCATTGCACACATAAAGAACCCTAAAATAAGTTTTCATAAAATTGTATATCAATTTATGTTATTCGTTAAATTTTTTTTTTTGACAACAAACTTTAATGAAAATTCGATTTAATAATGAAAAATTCAACTTACATGTAATGCATGTTTATGGTCATTGTTTATACAACCAAATTGATTGAATTTTTGTAGGCATATTTGTACAGTGTGAAGTGATGGAATTGGAGATTCGGGAAATTCAACAGCAAATAAATCTCTCACTTTTCTAGCACTGTGTCCACTCAATAGTTGTTTAACTATCCATATTTTATGTTCAGTCGAATAAACAGACGGCGGCATTGTGTTTATTTAAGAAATTTATTGAACGAAAATTTTAATTCTTTTCATAACCATAACAAAAATTCACAACATTATTCGAGATATCAGGGTTCTGAATCTGAAAAATAGTTTCATCTAACCAGAGTTGGGTATGGAAATATGTAATTTTATGGGACAAGAAAAACATCATTTTTAATTGGGTAATTTGTTTCCTCTAGTTTCCATGCATCGATAAAAAAAAAGTACCGTCTTATGATACGGCAGTTTTCTCTATTATCCTCTTTGAAGTAGAAGCTTCACTGTTTGACCGTTAGTCATTGCAGCGCCAACTTGACAGTCGATACAAATGTATAACATTAATAAAGTGTAAATTTATTTGTTTAAATAAAAGTTAAAGGGTTTTTTTTTAGAAAACTAAATCGTAATAATATTAAGTATAAGATCCTATATATTTATAGGCGAAATATAAAAACAAATTCGTCGATTAAAACAAAGCAGCATATTTTTTAAAATAGGGCTTTAAACCCCTAAAGTAACGGATATTTTAGGTTATTCTATAGATATCCAGTGCCTTCACGGAAATTAGGATATCCTCAGGATGTTTTTAGAATAGTCATAGGCATTCCTAGGGCATTCAATGAATATCCTAATTTCCAAAAAAACCTCCAAATATCCTTTGGACATACCTATAAAAATAATTCTACCTCAATCCGTGGCGCTGAGAACTGAATTATAATTTACAGTGTAGCAAATCTTATATGCGTACAGTTAAAAATTTGCATGTGACAGTAGTTTGATTTTTTTTAGTTATAAAATTTAGTCTACAATTTAGCATTTAAAAATATATATATAAAAAAAAAATGTCGAAGAATCAAGAGATAGAATATTTTGATTTACACACAGTTCATAGTAATTTTGATCGTTCTCTCGTTGAAGAAGATGATGTGGATATTAAAGCATATTTGGACGCTTACCATGAGTTGTTCAAGTAAGTTTTTATTATTGTACACTTTGAAGTTTGTTGTTAACGTTATAAATATTATATATATATATATATAGCGTATTAAACAATGAATTTAAAACAAAGGACATTTCTATTGTATTTTTCTAAATGTTATATTAATTAAAATTCGTTTTTCTTTATAATTAAAAAATAATATTTCCTCTATTCTATTTATATATTATAATTTAATGCGTTTCAACAATCTTATCTTACAGTTAATTTATTTTGTACTTGACTTTTACCTTTAGTGTGTATTATTTAAATTATCAGTCATTTAGTATTTACAACTTTTTATTCCGCGGATATATCTAAAAATAGTAATTCTTTATTTCTATAATAGATTTAGACCTTCATGTATATTTTATTCCTTTTTTAAAAATTTATTAAAAATAAAATGTTTTTATTTTCAAACATTCATTTAATAAACATTTATTTCATATTTAAATATTTATTCTATGAATTAAAAAATGAAAATTTATGAATTATATAGTAATATAGTTTATATCTTTGGCACAATTTTTATTTTTTATCTTAAAAAATGTGCCTTGAATTATTATCGCAATTTTATCGGTTATAAAAAAGAGTTTCCTTATATTATCATTAAATGTAAATCTTATAAGTGTTTTCAAATATTTTTTTGTTTGTAAAAGAATGTATTTAGAATCTTTAAAATTGAACAATTTAAAAAGAAATTTTTTTTTTAAATATGTTTAAGTGAAGAAATGTAATTTTATTTATAGAATTAATTTAAATACATTTTTTTTGTAAAATAATTACTTTCTTGTATAGATTTTTTCAACTTATGGGCAGTGTCTTCAGTTTTGTGTCTTCTGATTTAAAGCAAAAAATTGATGTTTTACAAGAGCTTCTCGATAATGATCAAAACAATTATCAAACAATTAAAACAATGATTGAACATGAGAAAGGTAATAATTTATTGGAGAAAAAAGATTTTGTCAGTGGTGCTAGAACTTTTTTACGACTTCATAGAGGTTTAGGTGAGTATTTAATTTTTAATTATTATTACTTCTTTTTCTCTATGAATAAAATTATTTTATTTTGCAGACTTTATTTCTGAATTTCTCAAGCAAATGGGTGAATTGTCAGATTCAGAGAAAACTTCAACTTGTTGCCAAAATGCCTATAATAAAACTTTAGCCAAACATCATCCGTGGGTTATTAAAAAAGCTGCCGTTGTTGCTATGTATACAATGCCAACTAGAGAAAATTTATTTAAAAAGGTATTTATTTTCTTTGAAAATTAATAAATATACATTAACATTTCTTGCTCTTTTCATAAATTTTTTTTTCATATTTAATTTTAGGTTTGCGGAGAGCATGTCGAAAAAAATATAGAGGTACTCCCAAAAACATTGGAAGTAACATCATTGGTATTTTCTCGAACCCATAGACTCTATGAAATGCACGAGTTGCACACACTGCCATAATGATGGTGAAAAATTTTTAAAAAAATTTTTTTGTTTTTTGTATACCAAAGGACACTTTTAAAAAAAAGATACACATTCCGTGAATCGTGTGATAAAAAAATGCATAAGAATTTATATACATTTTAATTTTTGGAGTTTATGTTTTATTTATTTAAAATCATTGTTTGATATTATACCACTTAAGTATTGGATTTTTTTTTAAAAACATACTTTAATTATTACGACTGAATGTATTTTAGTGCAATTATTATTATTATATATATATGTATAAATCTGTTATATTTATTGTGGTGTCAAATATGCCTTCTAAAAAAATATATATATACACACATGAATATTTTTTTTTTATCTAGTTTATGATTTTGTTCCATTTGAATGAGCAGAGTAAAAAGTTTCATCCATAAGCATACCTGAAAAAATTGCAAAAAATGTCAAAATTGATTTAAATATAATTGAGGGAAAATAAAAATTATTGTATTTTGTAAAAAAAAAGGAAAAAAAAATCCTACGTACCAGCGGTGCATGCAGTGAGAAAACAAACGATACTTCCGGCAATTGCAGCTCTTATAGCAACTTCAGCAACTTGTGATCTTTTTTCTGGCATTAATGTTGTTAATGCACCAGCAAATATTCCCAATGATGCAGGATTTGAAAAACCACAAATTGCAAAAGTTGCAATTGCTTCAGTTCTAGGCGATAGTCTCCCTTCTAATTTGTATTCACCTAATTTTTGATAAGCTACAAATTCATTAACTGCAACTTTTAGTCCTATTAAATTGCCAACATCGCCGCAACTCTCCCATGGTACTCCCATGATCCAACTTAGTGGCATAAAAGTTCGCGAAAGAAGAAACTAAAAATATTGTTAAAAAATACTTGATTCTATTCTCAATATAGTCTCAAATTTCCTCAGTCTCAACTCTCAACGATTTCAATAGTAACTAAAGTCTCAACAGTCTTAAGTTTCATCAGTCTCAATAGTTTAAATTCTTATCTATGATGTACGACGGACGGACGGACAGACGCGAAATCTAAAAAATTAAAAATTCTATACCTCAAAGGTCATTTCACTGTAGCCAACAAGTCCACCAATCCAAGAGAGCAGAGCGTTTAAAAATGCAACAAATGATGTGAATGCTATAATATTGGCAGTTATTCCTAAAACAATAGGTATTCCATTAAGTGCTCCTCTAATTCCAGCATCTAATAAACTTGCATCTTCCCTAGAATAAGAAATATATTATCAAATTATCCTTCCAAAAAAAAAGAAACTAACTTACGATTTATAATCCGGTAATTCTTTAAAAGTAGTTTGACTTTTTTCAGTTTCGGGATAAAATAATTTTGAAAATGCAAGAGATGCTGGTGCAGCCATTAGAGTAGCAGTTATTAAATTCGAAGGCGTTGCCCCAAATCCTATATAAGCAGCTAATGTCGTTCCTATAAAAATATTTTCATATTTCAAACTTTTATCAAAAGAAAAATGTAAATTAAATAATTCCTTTTTTGTAATATTTAGTTAAAGACAAACCAGAAACGGATGCAAATCCAGAACACATTATGGTGTGTATTTCCGATTTAGTCAAAGAACTCATATAAGGTTTAATCAGTAAAATAGATTCTGTCTAAAAAAAAAAATTATATTACTTTTTTGTAATTTTCTTTGAAAAAATTAATTACCATTCCTAAGAAAGTATTTCCTGCTGCATTCATTGATTCACAGGCAGTTGTTCCAACGAGTTTTTGAAGTAACCATCCTAATTTTAAAATTACTTTTTGTAAAATACCACAATGATACAACATTTGTATTATAAATCCAAAGAAAAATATAGCGGGTAGTGCCTGGGGATAATAGTTTTTTTTTTATTTAAATTATTATTAATTTTCTAAATTTTTTTTTTTTGATGCGTTAATTATTAAATACTGACGGCAAAGACGAAAATTCCACTGTCAACTAATTGATCTGAATATGCAAATTTGGCACCAACTTTTACGAAATTTAAAAATGTTTCAACTTTATTTGAAATACATTGAAATATCGCACGTCCAATTGACCATCTTATGGTAAATAATCCAAATAAAATTTGAATTATTATTCCAGATACTACGGATTTCCAATTTACCTATTGAAAAATTGAAAATAATTTTAATAATATTCTCAATTTTCCCATAAATAATCAACATTTATTTAATAATATACATACTTTGTTTGGATGTTTTGAGAAAATCCAACCAAATGTTACAATAAGTAAAATACCACCAAAACTAATCCATCTTTCACGTGCACCAGTGGTGTCAAAAATTAAAAATACTATTATTAGTACTAAAATTGTAAAATAAATTAATGCCTGCCCATATGAATGAAGATATCTGAAGAAATTATTTATTTAAATTAATAATTTTCCCATTGAGTATGATAATAATAATAATAATAATAATAATAATATTAACAATAAAATTAGTAATAATATTAATAATTATTTTATTATTAATATTACACCTTATAATTTATAATTAAAATGTTAAATTAATTATTTATGGCGAATTAAAAAAAAATGTACCGTTTGTGACGATTAGTTTTCATGCTGGTATTAAGTGACAATAACCCAGAGCAAATCAATTTTCTCAAGTACTTTTTTAATAGAGAATGATACAAAAAACTAGAGTAGATTATCACAATGATTATAAGAAGCATGCCATATCCATCACACCATTCCAATTCACAATTTGTTGCTGAAAATTGGTAAAATTATTTGTATTATAATATACATATAATATTTAAAATATTATTATATAAATTATTAATTGTATTTAAATTATTATATTCATATATCATTAAATGCACTAAAAGTTTTTTTTTTTTTTGTAATATACTACCTACAATTATTGTGCCAGTAAATACCCGCGAAGGCCACGTATGTTACGACCATTAGATTAAGTAACAAATAGCCACATATTTTTAATGTTTTTTGATGCGATTCAAGAAACACTTCGAATCCTGTTTTTGCTTTATCAAAAACTCCATCGTTTTCATCTAATTTTTCTTCTTTCGACATCTTTTTGAATAAAAATAAAAAAAGAAAATTTAATGTATATAACATAAAAAAAGAAAGAAAATTTTAAAAATTTTCAATTAAATTTATTTTATAATTAAAATATTAATTAGAAAATAATTATATTATACAATATATAAAATTATTATATTCTAAATTATTTAAGTATGTACATACTTGTGTTTGAAATTTTGTTGCTGAATTAATTCCATCAATCTCATATTCCTAAAATATTTATATAATAATTGTATTATAAAACGTAAATTTTATTTATTATAAACTTTTTTTTTAAACAAAAATGATTTAAATTTTACTTAATAGTTTTCTTATCTCTTTATTATCGGTTAATAAACGGGTAACAAAGAAATTATACGGTTTCTAAGAAATAATAAATTAATAAATTATACTTACATTTTGTGATTTATTTGCAAATATATAATTTATTCAAAATTTAGTTATTACATTTCATTATATTCATGCAAAATTCCATTTAGATAAGAAAATATAAATATAGTATTTTAAATAAAAAGTATTACATTTTTTCTATACAACTATTTTTAAAAAATATAAATAAATTATTATTATCATAAAAACTATAAATAAAAATTTAAAATATATAAATAAATTATTATTTTCATTTTATATTTTTTAATAGTTTATCCGATATTTTTATTTTAGAAAATTTATTTTTAAAAAATTTTTATTATTTGTTTTATTTTATATTGTTTTTATAATTATATTATCGTACATTAAAATCATATATATACCTCACTGAAGGCTTCGTTACTGATACCAGCTGCCATTGTCAATCAGATAAAAACAAATTTCTTTTGTTCTTAATTTTTTGTCGCGCGACAATTTCTATAATTAACATTTATACTAAAACACCTTGAAATAACTTTGCCAAATAACATTTTTTTTTTCTTTCTAAACTTGAGGCTAATTTTGAAAATTTTTACTATTTTCCAACGTTTTCATAATTTGGATGTAAAAAATTTTTCTTTTTTTTCCCCTTTTAATAATCCATTATTGCAGTTAGCACGACGGTCACTAAAGAACTACTCTCGCATAACAAATTGAAAGAATTTTCCTTCAAATCCACAATCAACACTGGGGAATGTTATATCTACCATCATGTGAGATTATATAGACATTTCAGGTGTGTTGATAAGGAAAAAATTCGCAGAATTAATAAATTTAATAGAATAACTAGACAATTGTTCTTATTTTATTTATTTTTTAATTATTTCAAAAAATTTTGCTGATTTTTTTTTTTTTGTTCAAAAAGGAAGGAATTTTTACTCTTGAAAATAGTATAATTCACATCTCTAGATTAAAAATTATTACTTTATTAGACTTGCGGTTTTTATTTATATGTCAGTTACCTTCTATTAACCTTTTCTTTCTTAAAGGTTAATAATTATTGACGCATGCGATTCAACCAGTAATAAAAATTGATCTTGTTAATTAACAAAATAAATTGAAGATGAGATATAAGTTCTTAATTATTTATAAGAAAAAAAAATGTAATACATTGTTTTCATATGTACTTCCATTTGTAATAGTATTTTTTACAATTACAATTTAGAAATTTTAAAAACAAAATTTTAATTTTTTTTTAAAGTAGAATAAAATTATAATTAGGGAAATTAATTAATAGAAATCAAAATACAATTATTTGTCTATAAAATTCGTTTTTTTTTTATTTTATACAAAACACGCATTACAAAAGATTATTTAAAAAAAAAAACTTACACTTGCGATACTTACATAAATATATTTACATATCGACGTACAAACTAAAAACGCAGTAAATACAAAATTTTTCGAAAATTTTGACTTTTTTTTAAATAAAAAAGATTCTTCTTTTTAAAATCATTTTTATCCTAAAAAAAAAAATATTTCTTTTTACAATTTTTCTCGGTTTGTTTCGAACAACCAATTATATAATTGCAAAAATATCTCTTAACTATACGTTAAAAATAAAAATAAAAAAAAAAAAATACTCTCGATAACTAGAAAATAAATAAGTCAGAGCCAATTTACAGTTTTGAAAAATATACACAGTAATAAAAGCGAATTTGCTTTCAAAAATTATTCGTTGTTAAATTTGTTTTGTCAACGAAAATTCCACCATAGTGAAACACTTAATGTGAAAATCACAAGAAATGAATTTGACGATGAAAATTCAACAGAGCTTGATAGTCTTTTCATTTCGGAGCAAAATGTATTGTTCGGTTCGGGTAGTGTTGTGTAATTTGGAAAACTTTGAATTGTTGCAGGCTGTAAGGAAAAAATTTTAAAAAATTATTATACATTTGTATATTAAATATTTTAACGAAAAATATATAAAAAAAATATTTTTTTTCCTACTTAATTTTTTTTTTAATTAAATAAAATTTACCATAGCAAGATTGTCGTTTCTCATTCTGCAAAACGTCATATGTTTCCCGTGATATAAACTTTTTTCAATAGATCTTGAAAGAAGTTCTTCCGTCCAAGGTATAGCTAGCATATGCTCTGCAAAGGTACGACCTATAAACAAAAAATATTAAATTAAATTTTTACAAATTAAAACTTTTTTTATTAAAAAAAAAAAAAATGTTTAATGTTTGCCATTAGGTAAAAATCTCATTTCTAATCACCTTTAAATTCGGAAGGTTCCTCTATAATAAGAGTTGAAAATAATTCATCATTATTATCAGCTTCTTTATAATCTCTCAACGCTCTTAAAGCAGATTCTGCTTCTTTCACCAATTGTTTATCAATTTTATCATTTGGCTGAACAGCCGGATACACTGAATGCTGTTGTTTCGTTAAAGTTGGCAGAGCCAAAGCATCAAATCTAAAATTAAAAATTCATACTAATTAAATTTAAATTTATAAATTTTTAATGACAACTGGTACCATAGCAACTGATACCACATTAACTGGTACCACAGCAACTGGTACCATAGCAACTGGTACCATAACAATTGGTACCACATTAACTGGTACCACAGCAACTGATACCGCATTAACTGGTACCATAGCAACTGTTACTATAGCAACTGGTACCATAGCAACTGGTACCACATTAACTAGTACCACAGCAATAGTACCATAGCAAATGGCACCACATTAACAGGTACCACATTATTCTGGTACCATAGCAACTGGTACCATACAAACTGGTACCATAACAATTGGTACCACATTAACTGGTACCGCAGCAACTGGTACCACATTAACTGGTACCACAGCAACTGGTACCACATTAACTGGTACCACAGCAACTGGTACCACATTAACTGGTACCATAGCAACTGGTACCATATCAACTGGTACCACATTAACTGGTACCACAGCAATGGTACCATAGCAACTGTTACCACATTAACTGGTACCATAGCAACTGGTACCATACAAACTGGTACCATAATAATTGCTACCATAACAATTGGTACCACAGCAATGGTACCATAGCAAATGGCACCACATTAACTGGTACCATAACAACTGGTACCATAGCAACTGGTACCACAGCAACTGGTACCACATTAACTGGTACCATAGAAACTGGTACCATAGCAACCGGTACCATAACAACTGTTACCATGGCAACCGTTACTATGGTAACGTAATTGAATTCTAAATTTAAATTTAGAAAAAAAAATTGAAAAAATAAAAAATTTTATATACCCAGTACTGAGGAAAATTTTTTCAAGATGATCCATTGAAATGCCTTTAAATGTATTGATGCCCAATGTTTTGAAAAGATCTTTTACAGGTGTCATACTGTAACAGGCGGCAAGTTCTGTTCTTGGATAATGAACAACAAATGCTAAACACATTTCTTGTGATGCTGCATAACCACCCAATGTGGGTCGTTTTCTATCGAGTGTACCATAAACACATTCAGCGACAATTTCATCACCGGGTAAAATTTTTACTTCTTTCTCCAATGTATGAGATTGTTGATAATCAAAATCAAAATGATTATCTTGAACAATTGGTGGCAGTTCATTGCCTTCTCGAATATGTTTTAAACTCAATTTTCTACCAGCCAAATGTGAATGAAGAACAACTGACACAACATTTACACCATTGTTCGGCAACATCTGTTTTAAAAAAAAAATAAAAATTATCATCAGACATTTTGTTAACAATAATAGATTTTAAATAATTTATTTTTTATTTTAGAATTAAAATTTTTTTAACATTCTCATGTGTGTGTTTCTTTCTTTTTAAATTCTTTTCTTAAATAATGATTTATATACTTTTAAGTATTTTAAGTAGTTTTATTAGTTTTCCGATTAAGAAAATCTTTTAATCTCTTTTTATATATAGATATATAAAGTAAATAACACTTCAACGATAAAATATCAGTTATTATTCTAATAATATTTGTTTAGATTTATTTGCTAAACTTAATCGTAAAAGTGTTTTTGTTTTATCTAAATAGATTTAATTGCGGGTATTAATTTTTTGAAGTTAATTGCAAATCAGATAAATTTAAGATTGCAAAAATTATGTAATTTATCAAAAATATCATATCAAAAATTGTACATTTTTTTTTTAAGTATTCTTTTTAATATTTAAAATAAAAATATAAAAACACAGATTTAAAAGATTTCACTTATCAATCATCGTGATATATATAAAATAGATTTTTGATGAAAAAGCTGTCCAAAAAAAAAAAGAAAAAAACGTTTAAAAATCTTGTCGCATTGCAAAGTGAGTCAGGTCATGTAAAAAAAAAGAAGAAAAAAAAAGAAGAACTAGGACCGACCTTCTTAGAATTCATAATGAGTGATAAGTTATTATGAGTCAACTTCTCAACTTAAGAAAGATTCAAATCTGCTGACAATGATCTTTCTCTGTTCTCATATATGGATATACACATATATATATATATATATACGCGTTTCCGATTGTCGTGGGAAATAATTATATATACATTTACAAAAAAAAAAAAAAAAAAATCTGCTCATTTCTCCTTTTAATGTGTGAGATAAACTCACCATCTTAATGATTATTATGCTATCTTTTAATTCCACAACTTTGCGGATGTGTTTCTAATTTTAATTGTACAATAAATAAAACAAAACAACAATATGCTTTCTGCGGTTAATTAACGAAAAATTCACACAAAAAGAAAGATATTAAAAAAATCAAAAAAAAATATCAAAAAGTAATTTTTAAAAATAGTTTTTTTTAATATTTTTAAATATTTAAAAAAATTTATTATTATTATTATTATTATTATTATTATCATTATTATTAATGATAATGATAATAATAAGATTTATAATTAATATTATTAATAAATAAATAAATAAAAATTATCTTCAAAACCATTATAGATATATTTTTACCATATTTGTGCAATCTTGAGTGCAATATCCAGCAGTCGCATATTTCTTCTGCCGAGGGGGAACCACATGAAGAGGAGTCACAGCCACTCCAGCAACGAGAATACCGGCTTCATTTTTACGAAGATTAGAAGTGTAATGAATTCTCACACCGCTGCTATCAATAATTTTCTTATGACCCGGATTGTTGTAGTGAACTTCCAACATATAATATGTTCCTTCTTTATGTTCCGCCACTGGAATTCCAATGTGTTCAGGAAACCATTCTCCTAAAGAAAAAAAAATTTTTTTGTCGTCATAAAAAAAAATATTTTATTTTAAAAATTTTACAGAATTTGAAAAAAATAATTTTTTTTTACAGAACTGTTCTGTAAATTACCAACATATTTCTCAACTTCCGTTTCTTTAAAGCATTTTTAAAATTAAATTACAGAACAGTTCGGTAAAATTTGAAAATTTTTTCTTATGTACGAAATAATTTTTCAAATGAGATATGTTTACCAAAAAAAAAAAATAATTTTGGTTTCCCGTTTCTTTTTTGAGAGGTAAATGAACTCTTCAATCATGATCGAATTTTGTGGTCTTGTGAAAGAAGGAAAGAAAGAAAGAGAGAGAGAGAGAGAGAAAGTTGAATGAAGAAATTACATTCAGTTTGAAAATAAAATGAATTGAATTTGTGAAAAAAAATTCTTTCTCATCTTTACCTTTGCTTCCACGAGCCCAGGCGAGTACTGGTTGCAGACAGGATTCCCATTCTCTTGGCATCGTTGGACTATAGCAATGCGCCCCAGCAAGTTTCGTATGTTTTCCAAGGGTCGGTGAAGTCGAAACACATTCGTACAAAATCACGTGGTGTACAAGAGCCTCATTCGCCTTCTCCACAAGTGGAGTGTACTGTGAAAAAAAAAAAATGAATGAAAAAAAAAATGAAGAATAAAATAAAAAAAAAAAAAAAAAGTTGATTAACTACCACAACTTCTTCGAAACCAGTTTCTGTCTTTAATTAAGTGAGGGAATTCAGAACTTGGTGCGAAAAGTAGTTCCTGGGAAATCGATGTACACGGTTTCACTTAATGACCCAATTACTTATTTATATAGTTCAAAATTCTTTTTTTTTTCTCTTTATAATTCATTGTTTTATATATTTTTAAAATATTTTATAATTTTATATATTTTTTATATATACATACTTATTTATTATATATAAAAGTGTTATTTAAGAACTAGGTATTTTATTTTAAATTCCGCTAATAATTGAAAGATGAGTAACCAATTAAAATTAATTTTTTTATTCTCGATAGAAGGAAAAAAAAATGTTTGCTGTTTTATATCCGATTAAAATCTTTATTTTCGGCAGCTGTTATTTCAATAGAGAGAAAAAATTTTCTTCTAAATTTTTTTTTTTTGATGTTGTAGTGAAAAATTTCAAGCATTGGCATAGTGATTTACAAGAAAGTGTGACATAATTTATGGATCATAAAGATCGCCTAACGCTCATCGATGAAAAGATAACAGAGAGACTAGCTCAGGTACATTAAGCATTCTAAAAAGTGGACAAAGCAAGAGATCGAGAACGGGTTGATCCTTCCCCTTTTTTTTTCGTGTGATATCTCATTGACAGTCCGTAAACGTTTTTCGAGTTTAGTATTTATAGGTATGTGTGACATCACTTCACGAAAGAGTCAGGTGTCTCTTTCCATTTTAGTGACAAGTTACTCATCGTTCTTTTATTTTTCAAATTGACGCGGAAATTTTGAATATAAGAAAAAAAATAACTGAAAAATAATTGCTTTAACTTTGTTTTTAATTTTATTTTCTTAATGCATAATAATTATTATATAGCAGTTATGCAAAAACGTAAAATTTAAAATTTTTTTAAAAAACCCGCCCTTATTTCTATTATAAGCGCCACTAGGCGGCGCTGCGTTACTTTACACAAATATCAATGCTCCCTCTGTGATTCAAAATTTCTTTATCTTTTAATGTGATACTTTTTTTTGGTACTTTAAGAATATTGTAAAAATTCAATTCTGCAATTCTAATTATCAACTTACCCCAATCATGTGATGTTTTTCAATCATTGGAGCTTTAAAAATCTTGCACCAATATTCAGTGTCCGTTGTATCGGAAACAGCAAACTAAAAATAGATTTTAAAAATTTTTAAGTATTCCTTTTTTAGCAAAAAAAAAATTATAATTACAAACCTGGTTGAGTTTAATATCCCAGAATTGTACATCAGGACTTCTGGGTGGTGGTGGTGGATGTGGTGCAGGTGCCTTTAGTCGTAGGGCCCTACCACCACGTTTTTCACCATGAAAAGCTGCCGAATTTAATTCAGGATCATTGGGATGAATTGCCCAAAGTACTCTAATCGTATCACCCTGAAATTAAATATATATATCTAGAATAAGAAGCATTCATAAAGAATTCGGGTTAAATAAAAAAAAAGGGAACAAAAGTTATTATTTAAAGAGGAAAAAAAAAAAAATAGAAATAATAAGAAGAAAAGTGAGAGTATATAATCGAGGCGCTTGATACTCGATTAGAAGTATTTTAATAGGGCCCCGATTTCTTTTGGGGCGAGCTTTTAAATCGGTGGCATCCCGCTGTCTCAAAGGGTGAGGACGGCATGCTAAAACGCCTAAATGTCGCCGCGGGAATTCCTGCCCTCCTAGGGTCTTTTAGGGCCCTGAGAAATTCCCAATCGGACACGAAATATAAATCATTGAAGAAAAGAGAGAGAATGTTCTCGCGAAATATTCTAATTTCTATATAGTTTGCTTTTTTTTCGAAAATTCTTAATCTGCAAAAAATTTCTTTATATGTGAAAACAACTTTTCCAAATGAAAAAAAAAGATTATTTAAAAAAAGAACTAAAAATAAAAACTAATTTTTTTTTTTAAGGAATGCTATAGAAGAATTTTTTTTTTCTCGTGAGATGATGTCATCTTTGACAATTTGACAAAATAAATTTTTTTCAATAAGCCTTACATTTAATGGCTTATCCTCTGGATCACACGTTTCCCACTTTCTCGAGAATATAATCGTCGTGTGAGTTTCATTTTGATAGCCATCGACAATTTCAACATCTTGAGATACATCCGTCACTGGTGCAGTATTTGACTCCTCAAGACCGTGAGAATCCTAAAAGCAAAAAAAAAAAAAGTGCATCATTAGAATCACAATAAAATAATTATTTTACAATATTATTTTTGAAAAATTAAATTTGAGTTCTGAAAAAGAGTACGCTATTCATTTTGAGTAGCGTCAACAAAAATGTGTCAAGTAGATGGTGCCACTAAATGTCATTGGACTCATTTTGAATTTCAATCCAGGTTCTTTTTTTATGATAATATTTTTCTTATATTTTCTTATATTTTGGAAAAAATATTTTAATGTAAAAGAAAAGTAGAAAAATACTAAAAAAAAAAAATGTGATGCTTATTTTTGACTGCAGGAAACGAGAAACGAACATCGCAATCGAATTCCCCTGATCGAAATTTTATTACTGTCTTCAAACAACACACGAAACTCGAGACATCCCACGAAATTCTAAGATCTTAAGATCCGATATGCATTTGGCTTTTGTGCGAGAGTGAATAACCCCAAGAAGAATGTAACGAAAACATATATATTCCTCTTCTTTTTTTTTCTTCATCGTCTATATGGCAATCGTCTTTTCTTCATTTCTTTATTCTCATTTACGCAATAATCAACTTCATCCCTTTAAAATATATATATAAAAAGAAATGAAGAAACGTTTATCAGCTCGTTGGGGTTCGTTGATTTTCATTTCCCATAATATTATAGTTTTCCATCATCCTCTCTTTGTAGTAGTAGTAGTAGTAGTTGTAGAATCTGTACTAAACAAGAAGGGAAGTTGCCTTCCTGCTCGTAATGAATCCAAAATAATTGCCAACAGTCGTCATGCTCAGCGAATACATAGGGCGTTTCAACGTCACGCTTACCTAACTCTCTCTCTCTCTTTTTTTTATCTCTTTCTCTTCTTTCCTTCTCTCTCTCTCTCCTTCTATGCATAGATATGTTCGATGCAATGAACTTCATTCAGAAATAAAAGAGAGGCGTACTCGCCAAGAACGAAGGTTGAGGCTTCGTTCAAGACCTTAAAAGATACACAAGATCTGTTTTTTTTTCGTTTTTTAATAAGGAAGGAAGGATAAGGTTGGTTTGAAACCTTTCAAGTGCATCGACTTCCTCTCTATAATTAATTTCCTCCTAATTACTTGGTAAACTTCTGACCTATCAAAAAGGTGGACTAAAATTTTATTTAATGTATTTATATTTGAAAATAATTATAAAAATTTGATTTATAATGTAGATTGGCAACCGTTACTATGGCATTAATTACTATGGCAACCGTTACTATGGCATTAGTTACTATGGCATTAGTTACTATGGCATTAGTTACTATGGCATTAGTTACTATGGCATTAGTTACTATGGCATTAGTTACTATGGCATTAGTTACTATGGCATTAGTTACTATGGCATTAGTTACTATGGCATTAGTTACTATGGCATTAGTTACTATGGCATTAGTTACTATGGCATTAGTTACTATGGCATTAGTTACTATGGCATTAGTTACTATGGCATTAGTTACTATGGCATTAGTTACTATGGCATTAGTTACTATGGCATTAGTTACTATGGCATTAGTTACTATGGCATTAGTTACTATGGCATTAGTTACTATGGCATTAGTTACTATGGCATTAGTTACTATGGCATTAGTTACTATGGCATTAGTTACTATGGCATTAGTTACTATGGCATTAGTTACTATGGCATTAGTTACTATGGCATTAGTTACTATGGCATTAGTTACTATGGCATTAGTTACTATGGCATTAGTTACTATGGCATTAGTTACTATGGCATTAGTTACTATGGCATTAGTTACTATGGCATTAGTTACTATGGCATTAGTTACTATGGCATTAGTTACTATGGCATTAGTTACTATGGCATTAGTTACTATGGCATTAGTTACTATGGTAACCGTTGCTATAGTAACTATTGCTATTGTAACCGTTACCATAGCAATTGATACTATGGTAACCGTTGCTATAGTAACGATTGCTATGGTAACCGTTGCTATAGTAACCGTTACCATAGCAATTGTTACTATGGTTACAGTTCCATGACATTGATATGGTAATCCCAGCTATAGTTTTTAGTTACCGTTACTATAGTAACTACAAACCTTAAAAAATATCTACTTTACATCCTCGAGTGAAGAAAATAAATTAAATTTTGAATTTACACGCGTCAAGTTCAAATGTAAGGAATTTATTATCATATACTTATTATTATTCAATTAATATACAATATTACACATATATATATATATACTATAAACTGTATAACTTATAATTTATGTTCACTGGAAATATGCGCCTAAAGCTAAAATGAATTTCGAGATCTTATTACGTGTTCATAGTAACTGTCAGTGACATAATTATATGACAGTCATTTGACTGCGCCACAGTGATAAGTAGAATGCGAACACGCAAAGTTCGCACCATACTATATATATATGAATACCATGCGCACATCAGGAAAGGGAAAAAGTAATAATCTCAGTTATTTGATCGGTACACGAACCCAAGCACACGCTAATTGCTAGATTGTATGCGCGAGAATATACATTTTTTAATTACATTTATATCCTTTTAATAGTTCTGAGAACAGTTTCAGGTTCAAGGTTTTTTTAAATAAATATATATATATATATATAAATAACGCGGCAGCAAAGAAGGCGGGGTCACTGTACTCTTTACTATTTACTCTTCTGCAAACGCAATGATTTTTTCTTTTCATATTATATAGGTTTGCTTTTTTATTATTTGATAAAGAAAATATTTCTATTGATTAAAAATGTTTTTTTTCGTTCAAGGGAAAAAAATTGTCCATTTTAACACTAGGGAGTAAAATAGTTATTTATGATACTAGTGCGTAAAATCGTTAACTATAGGAGTTTCATAGAAAATTTCTATGCAACACTAATGCTAGTTGGAAATATTTAAATTATAATTTTTAAACAATGCAAAAAAGTGTTTAATTACGTATGCTAAAATTGTTTAAATTTCCTTTTTATTTATTTTTAAGTATATATATATATATAGATATATCTTGATTGTAAATCAGGTTGTATCCGGTGACGGATAGTGTGTCGAAAATATATATATATATATTTATTTGATAAAATCAAAATCCTTTCCACGAGTAGTTTGCTTTTAATCGTGTACCGCATTCTGCACAATCCACCACTCGTCATTGAATGAGACCTGCTCGGAATACATGAATGCACTCTGAAACGAGTTGGCCACAGGAAACGTATATATATATATACCATATAGTTACCAATTCATGACGTCACATCCGTCAAATTAATCTTTTCTCGATACCTTCTTTTTTTTGTCTCATATTTTTTAATTAAATTTTTTATTTTATATTCTTTTCTTCATTATAGTTAATTGCAAATAAAATGTTCTGGCAAATTAAGTGATTTTCAAAAAATTTATTTTGTTATTATTACTCTCGCCATTATTACTCTCTAAGTCTAGAAATGAGTTTGCTCACTAGGGCTAGAAGAGGCAATTTTACTCCCTAGTGATAAAAAAAGTCATTTTACTGCCTAATATTTTTTTGTATTTTAAAAAAATTAATTATTGACTAAAATATAATTTTTTGAAATTAAAAAACTTTGAGGAATAATTTTTTTTCACCTTTTGAAGTTTAAGAGATTTGAAGACAAGTTTTTGGGTTCAACATTTTGCGGATCTTTGAAAAGGAAAACCTTGGTGAAGCTTTGCTTTATCCCTGCGCAAACCTGAAAACGGTTCCCATGGACCTCGTCGTCGAGAAAAAGGAAGGAATTTCTCTCATGAGGACTGCAGGGCGAGGCGCCACTACAAGAACGGTAGCCAGGTGTTTCAAGGGAGACTATCGTTCTCTCTTTCTCTCTCTCTCTCTCTCTCTCCCTCTCGCTCGCTCCGTCTCGTTCTCTTTTTCCCCTCAGGGCTCCTGACAACCTCTCTCTTTTCAATCTTCCTCTCACTGTTTCTTTTCTACCTCGTCTTTCTTTTGTCAGATTTCCTTCTTTATTTTTTTTTATCCCCATATATCTTTCACTTTCCTTGTTTTTCTCCTTTGTCTGTCAACCATTTGATTATTATTTTTTTTTTTTACAACAGATCTTATTTATTATTATTATTTTCAAATCCTTAAATATATGATGTAACTTGGTTACTTCCGGTTAAGAAAAAAAAACTGATGGTCATTGAACTAGCTATGGATATTATGTTACTTAAGAAGTGTGCCAAGTTGTGATTCATTTGGTAGTGAACGCAGTCGCGGACAGACAGACAGACATTTTTTTTCCTATCATTCAGTCAATTTTTAATATTTAAAAATTGCAATTGTACAATACATTTTTTTTGGGGGAAAAAAAATTTTTTTTTAAAGAGAAAATAAATTTTTAATTATTAAACAATAATTTATGTTTTGTTATAAATAATATGTTTATTTATTATTATTGTAGGTAAATTTAATAGCACGGGGAATTTATATATTTTAAATAAAATAAATATTTATTTCTTGTACAATGTTTGTTCAATTCCCATCCTCCATCAAGTCGTTTAGCAGAACACTTAAAAGAAACTAAGGTATATAAGAAGTCGTTATATCCTTTAAATCGTTTTTATTGAGCCGGTATTTGGAATAATCATTGAATTAATGTATGGCAAAATGATAAGGAAAATTTTCGTGAGAACGTCAACACTAATTTACCAGATCGTTATAACGATCTCTCTATCTCTTTCTCTCCCTTTGAATAATGTACGACTTTTTGATTGTGATCTCTTTTAACGATCGCGTAAGGCTATCACTAAACATATCTCCAATAAACTAACCAAGCATCATCAAAAAAAAAAAACTTTGCTAATCCTTTTCAATATGTTTGAAAATGTAAATATATCTTTCGATTCCCTTGTTTTTATTATCTTTTAATAAGAATTTAATTGAATAATTAAAATCTTTTGATTCTAATTATCAAACATAATTGTCTGAAAGTTGTGATTTTTAGACACTGAATAAAATAAAAAATAAATGTTTTAAAA